CAGATGTCAGCTGGTAAATCAAAAGGGTGCAACTAAGTGAGATTAGTGTAAAAAGGTTCACTGGAAAAGGCTGGAAAACTTTTTTTTTCCTTTGATGGATTAAAAAAAAAACGAACTAAATTTCCACCATTTTTCCAAACCAAAATTTGACCAAATAAATTACACAAAAAAAACAATGAATCTCAAAAACCCCTTAAAAGTACACTAAGGTTATTCAAACTTTTCTTTTTTTAAACAGTAAGGTGTGAAATTTGATGCTAGTCAGAAAAATTCACCTGAGATTGTTGACAAAACTAATCATTCTAATCTCGACTAAATCAAATTTCCCACAATACAACAAAACTTCACAGACGGACACAAGATCAGCATGGTATTCTCATTCAATAGACTACAAACTGGCCATACTGTGACCTTGAATGACCTTCAAATACTGGTGTGTCTGCTGTCAAACGTCACTAGAATTGTAAATGTCTTGATAAAAGGACATCAAAAGACGATAGGATGAGAAATATGTGATAGGTAAACAAGAGTCCATGTTAAGAGTGTAGAGTGAAATTTTAAGAGTATTGGTAATTTTATTATATTGATATTTTAGACATTTCAAACAGCTATAAATCAGAATGTCAATAAATTTGGATATTTTTAAGTCCTGTTTTGGTACTAATGAAGCTCAGAAAGATCTTGAGTGCAATAATGAAAAATTTACTGACAGAAAAAAAGGCACCATTACTCTACTCTTTTGTTCAATATCCAAATGTCCAGGGATCTTTATCATTGACAGCAGTCTGTTGCACACATGGCCCTGGGTTACTGTCTTTTATACCTTAAGACCTCCCCCCCCCCCTCCTTCCTACCTTCCTTCCTTTTGAACTGGTACTTAAACAACTTTTATCCCCACTGGGATATTAAACAAAAATATAAACAGTCTATGTTTAAAGCAGCATGAACAAATTATTCTGTTAAAAGCCATTAAAAAACTATTTAAAATTGTAAAAAAATGTTAAAAATGCCAAAAATAAAATTATAATATACATAGTACAAGAACTATTCCACTTGTCATATTTTATTTTATCAGACAACTCTCGAATCATTGAAATAATAAAATATGATAGAAGTTGACAGAAAACATGAAAACTATAATCTCCAGTTTACATTTCTAATAAATTATTGTTCTTTCTCACAGTATTTTAATATTTCATCTCTCATAAATAGTCTTTGTTACAATTTCTTTTCTAAATGGTCTTCTCTACAAACTTTATATTTTCTTTAGACCCAAAATATCAATAACTTGACCAAAATTTTCTATTTTACTGTCTTTGGTGGTAATTCAAGCAAGGGCATGTTGACTTTCATAGAATACTTTATGATGATATCTATACTAAAAGACTGAGGTTGAAAACACTGGCTAAGGCATTTAGAGTTGTTCAGGTAATTCCAACTAACATGCCACACCTTACAACTTTGCAGCTCTGTTAAGCCAACTCACTATTTACTGAGATATCCTATCCTCAAATCCATGAGTGTCCAGAATTATCTGCGTTTGAAAAATTACGACTTGTCATTTTAATATACTTTGTGATATATAGAAAAGACATATATAGAAATGGCAAGTAAAATTCCTAGTTTGAATTATTTTTAGAGGAATTTTCGTACATTTCTAGTACTTCTGAAGACCATTTACATATATTCAAGCCTAAAATCAACCCCCTAAAATGGCGCCTTGTCCCTTTAACGTGCACAGCCTGTAGCACACGAGGCCTCGATTTATTCTCCTATTAGATGAAATCTGAATGTAAATTGTATTGTTGTACAACATAGGACCATATCTTTATATTCTAGACATGATTCAACTTTAAATCAACCACAATAATCTCACCTGTCAGGTTTTATATTTAATATTTCTACTTTAAATTCATTCACAACTTTCAACAGATAGTCTTACTACTAACTATGGAAGACATTCATTGCCAAATTACATGTCATTAAGCTCTATTCAGCCATATCATTTCTAAGATTTAATTTCATAAGTCTAGTTTGTCTACAATCAAGAATAAAGACAGGCAGATGTATATTTCAGTTTCACTTTGTGAAATAAATACCTTTAATACATTACAAATTTCATCCATTTTGTTCGATTCAAATACAAATACAAATTTGTCCAAACCAATGTAAGAATTCAAAAAAACTTCTAAAAAAATAACTCACATATATTCCCAGAGATTAAAAGTAGGCTCACCATTTTGGTCCATTTTCTGCTACCCTTATTTTCATTTTGTCTATGTGTTTGTTTATGCTGTATACATGTCAAACTCATGTTTCTGTCAACAACAGTGTAAAAATGTTAAAATATGGTAGAAAAATTTGATTGAAAAAACAGTCTGAAAATCTTTCCACAACAAAGCATGAGAAATTCTCAACACAAAAAAAATTGTTTATGAAAAAAGCTAAATTTTTAATATAACAAATATAACAAACGAGGTCTTTGATTTTAAATAAAACTGAAAAAGGTTTCGAGATTCAATTACATCTGAATTTCTAAAGTGCACAAATACTGAGGTACCTAGTGTGCCACCAAAATATTGAGAATCATGTATTTCTGAAGTTGAAAATACAAACATAACAAAAATTCTCAGAAAGAAAAAAACAAGTGAGAAAGTAGTTTAAAGAGTAAAACATGGAGTAGATGATGTTTGAGGAGACCCTAGAGACCAGATATCAAAATATCAACATGTTACCAGGGTAATATGAGAGGGTATTTGGGGGTAGGTTAATTGTAAATGGGGATATATGATCCTGTATCTTGAGACCATGGCTTGTATTTATATAAGATAACCAGAGACATATCAACTCAATGAAAATATCATGTCTAATAACCTGCTGGGGTGAATATTCATCTTGTATTCACTGAGAACAAAATGATAAAGTTGAGTTTTTATAACCTTAGTTTTTATCTCTCCAGTAGTTGTGTTATTTGACAAACTGAACTATTCTATAGATGTTAGTTAATAGTATATACCAGTAAAATCAAATGAATGGAGTTTTACATCCTACTCTTCTGCATCTAATTGGTCTTACGAAGACAATAGTTGACATATAAAATGCAATTTCAATATCTCTGAAGTAACAGTGAGGTTTTGAATGAATTCTGAAGGATGCTTGCTTTCCATAGTTGAAGGTGAAACACATTTCGGTGAGAGAGGTTAAAGTCCTCAATATATCAATTTTAACAGCAGAAATAACTTTTTAGCAGATCAGTCTAAATTACAAAATTGCACTTTACTACCATGTTCCAGATTATGTTTACTGTAGACTAACTCAAATTCATTTTTTATCCTGAAAAGTGATAAAGGTAATTAAAATGCTGTTCTTTTTAATGCAAGCCACATATCCCTTTTTAATTTAGAAAACATTCATAATATCAGATAATATCAGATACAGATAAGATCAGATATCTGCATACAAATAAGATCTCATCTAAGCTTACTTATTGAAATATAGTGAATTTCATATTTTTCACCTTTTCATATGTAAAATCTTTCACTTTAGATAGTAGGCAATAAAAGCTATGTGTGTCCTTAAATAATGTTCATTTCTCCCTATCCTAAGTCCCCACAGATATTACAGGACACAATGAAATGAATGAGTGTTATGTCCTACTTTTCTGCACCATGTGGGCTAATGAAGATGGGCCAAGCCATGTAGGGTGCAATGAGAGAAAATTTGCCAGGACAGTAGCATCAGCCTGCTCGTTTTCAATTTCCAACTATCAAGGGATCTTTAAAGTGCACAGTCTATAGCACATGGGGACTCGGTTTATTGTCCCATCCTAACACTCCTTCCATGTCAGCCCCTTACCCTCATCACTGACAGGAGGAAATCAGGTTGAAAAATCTGAAGGTATTATCTGGATGTATGTCAGGATTGAAACCTGGACCTTCAGGATGTGAGCAAGCATTTAACTCACTGAGCCACACTGGCTCCCAGGTATTAGAGGACAGCAGGTCATGTAACTCCAAGAGCGAATCAACTTCTTGGAAATACACTAAATTGCACTCAAAAACCTTAAAAATTAAAAAATTCCTGATTACTATTCTCATCATTCTATGATCTTTGTTTTCAAAATCAGGTGTATTTTATCTCCAATATTGAAGAGTCTACTTTTGTGTTTCTCTTTATGTAGTCTTATCTACCTATACCTTGAATTTTTTTTATATAATGTCATGTTTTGTATAAAAATTTATCTTAATGTTTATAGCAGTTGTGATAGTACAAGATTAAGTCTGAATAATCTGGGAAAATTAAGTATAAAACCACCATCTCAATGTTTTCTATTGGTAAAGGCCCTGTAAGATTTTTAATCAACTCAAAATTTTGATTAAGAATTTCTATCTTTAAGATAATACCAAACTTAATATATTACTATACATTTTACAAATTTTAATACTATACTTGAAATATAATCGTGTGTAAAATACAAAATTAGATTCTACTGAACAATATTTGAAAAAGAATTTCTTCAGATCACAGATGGTAAGTGTGGTATCTAAATTATATTATGGCATTGTCTGTAATTGAAACTTTTTCATTTCCTTTCTAACACAAGTTTAAAATGTTCTTCTGCGTTTTTAGAGTAAACATTTGAGAGAAATGATAATTATAAATCAAAACAGATATATTATCTATAAAATCTTATTTTCATTCATATATTTGCATTGCAAATCATTCATTCATCTGCAATCATTTTCAAATTCATTCATAGTTTTGTTGCCTTTCATTCATTCATTCATTCATTCATTCATTCATTCATTCATTCAATTGGAACTACTCCACTCCGAGGGACAGGCACGATATAGGTTTATCAACAAATCACGAGAAAAATTCACGAATATACAGCAGTAACGCATATACAGATATGATTTGAAACTGGTAACTATGGGTAACCAATGGCTGACGATTCTGCAACCTTGAAAGTTACACAAATCTGACATACCTTCAGATGGAAACTGGACAATATCAGAGATAGGACCAAACATCATGTTGAATCTAGCTCGAACTTTAAAATAATAGGTTAGATTCATATTAAGACGTTGAATGGTGGTCTCTGTGATATTGCCGATGATTGCCTGAGCTGCCCACTGTTGTTCTTCTAGTCCAACATCATTGGTATAGTAGATGATATAACCTGAAATAAAGACCAACAGTGGCATGTTTAGGCAGTAATTTTAGCCAGGCATAAAGATGAAAAATTTTTCTGCTTACACTTCCAACTTTCTACATTAGAAATTGTTCCACTATGACTCTCCACTATGACTGGTGCCCTCCAAAATCAGCAGAGGTAAGTCAAGACTCTCAGATACATAAGATAACCACTACTAACCTGTGATGCGTCCATCAATTTCTTCAGGTGGTTGCCAAGATATTATCAAACTTGCTGGTCCATCTTGCTTTATTTTCAGATTCTGTGGAACATTACCTTGAAATACCAACATGAAGTATATCAGGATAATGAAAACTAGATTGGATATTCTAAATATGCTGCTTAAATATGATTGTATCAGGAATGTGTCTTCAAAATCTTAAAAACTTGAATTTATTTATTACCTGAGGATCTTTTATAGTTGTTTCTTTAAAAATAACTTTGTCGATTAAATTACCCAGTAATTCGATTTTTTACTATCAAATGAAAGTAGAAAAAGTGCTAAAAGAAGATATAACCCTGTTGATTTGACTGGTCTTGATGGTCATGTCTGAATTAATTACATCCATTCAGACACAAAAATATTCTGTTTTTTTATGTTTCAAAGGATATGCTACAGCTCTGAATTTATGTGCAACAGCATAGAAGTTTACCTGGCTCAGAGCTGCTATCTGTACTTTCTGAAGATTCATTCCTGGAGGATTCTGAGGATTCACTGCTGCTACCAGCCTGTCCAGATTCCCACCTTGTTCCTGACTGTTCTCTGGAATGACCGGTTGACAATACTGAATCACTTCCTGACTTTCTTGAACCACTACCCAACTTTCCTGAACCACTTCCTGACTTTCCTGAACCACTTTCTGACTTTCCTGCCCCACTTCCTGACTTTCCTGAGCCACTTCCGGACTTTCCTGAACCACTTCCTGACTTTCCTGAACCAGCAACTTGAACACTTCCTTGACCCCCAGAATGACCTGTTGGCATTCCAGAGTCTGTTCCTGAACCGCTACCAGATGTTCCACTGGCCAGTGAGAACTTAAGGGTATACGAAATAGGACCAAGCATTAAGGTGGATCTTGCTTGTATATTGACATAATAGGTTGAATTCAAATTGAGATTATTGAGGGTTGTTTCTGTTCTATTTCCACTAATTTGTTGAGTTTCCCAGTTCACAACATCTGAGTCATAAACATCACCTTCAGCATAATAAATATCATAACCTAAAATATAAATCAATCAAATATTACTTTCTTTTATCTTAATTTATTTATTCAGCCAATGCTTTTTCAATGTAGAAGATCTTCTTCATCAACAGTGGTAGCCAAAGTCTTTCTGATATTCATCATTGCAAAAAATCCCAGATATATCTGCAAAGTAAACCTCTATAACCTACATCACTGATGAGGGAAACCATGTTTGAACATCAAAAGGCAAAAATCTAATGTAAGCTTTAGCCACAAAATGTGATATTTTGTTGATTAAAAACTAACCTATAATAGGTCCTTCTATTTCAGAAGGTGGTTGCCAACTTAGAATCAAACTAGATGGTCCACCTTGTTTAATCTCTAACTGCTGTCGTACAGTATCTGAAAGAGATAAAAAAAAAAAAAACATCAGCTATCGTATATCATCTGTTAAAAAACCTAGTCTTGATAGATTTGAGTTCATTTGATATACTTCCTCATGTGAAAAGTTCATTAGTTGCTACCAATATGCTGTTTTTGATTTCGGGTTATTGCTTTGTGGTTTGTATCTTTGGTTTCTTTATATGGACTGAACAAGAGAAGGCAAACTACTAGAAAATATCATCTATGAACATAACAAGGTAAATATTTATCTACCCTAATCAAATACCAAATCAATTAAAAGGAAAAGTTCATAAAAATTGAATAATAAAATATCAGCAAAAAAAAAGATTTGAATCATACCCTGTTCTGAACTGCTTTCTGCATCATCTTCAGATTCACTACTGGAGGACTCTGAGGAACTACTCATTCCATCTGAGGTTGATTGTCTGTTGCTACCATCCTGTCCTGATTTTCCACCAGTTCCTGTTTGTTTTTTAGAATGACCTGGTGTCATTTCAGATGCATCACTACCTGACGTACCAGAGTCAACTTTTTGTCCTTCTTGTCCTTCAGATTTTGAGCCTGAGACACCAGGGCCTGTTTCTGCTCCAATTTGACCCTCTGCATTACCAGAACTTCCATAGATTCCTCCATTTCCTGTTGATCCTTGTCCTTGTCCACCTGGTGATCCAAACTCACCCTTTGTCCAAAAGACAATACCTTGCCCTTTAGGTTGACCATCATCCGTTTCCGAGCTACCACTTGTAGCTCTGAACTCAGTTTGAGTACCTACACTCTTAGACCTACTACCTGTTGCACCTTGTCCACCTACAGCGCCAGATATATCACTTTTGCTTTTTCTTTCGGAGCTACCACTGATCAAACCACCAGAACTTCCAATGCTTCCAGCTGATCCCTGTCCACCTGTAGCTCCAGATTCACTTTCCCAGCTTACACCACCATGTTTTCCAGTCTGAGTACCAACATCTCTGGAATTACCTCCCTCTTGTCCTCCAGTTTGACCACCTGTACTCCATGAACCACCACTTTGTCCTCCAGATTGACCATCTTGTCCTTCAGTTTGACCACCTGTACTCCAGGAGCTACCTTGTCCTCCAGTCTGACCACCTGTACTCCATGAACCACCATCTTGAGCGCCAGTCTGACCACCTGAACTCAAAGAGTCACCCTCTTGTCCTCCAGCCTGACCGCCTGTATTCTGTAAGCCACCATCTTGTCCTCCAGCCTGACCACCTGTACTCCAGGAGCCACCATCTTCTCCTCTAGACTGACCATCTTGACCGCCTGTACTCCATGAACCACGATCTTCCCCTCCAGTCTGACCACCTGTACTCCAGGAGCCACTACCTTGTCCTCCACTCTGACCACCTGTACTCCAGGAGCCACCTCCTTGTCCTCCAGTCTGAACACCTGTACTCCAGGAGCCACCACCTTGTCCTCCAGACTGACCATCCTGTCCTCCAGTCTGACCATCTTGTCCTCCAGTCTGACCACCTGTACTCCAGGAACCACGACCTTCCCCTCCAGTCTGACCACCTGTACTCCAGGAGCCACCACCTTGTCCTCCAGTCTGACCACCTGTACTCCAGGAGCCACCACCTTGTCCTCCAGACTGACCATCTTGTCCTCCAGTCTGACCACCTGTACTCCAGGAGCCATCAAATTGTCCCCCAGTCTGACCACCTTGTTCTCCAGTTTTACCATCTGTACTCCATGAGGCACCCCCTTGTCCTCCAGACTGACCATCTTGTCCTCCAGTCTGACCATCTTGTCCTCCAGTTTGACTGCCTTTCCCCTGTGAGGCACCCCCTTGTCCTCCAGATTGATCACCTGTACTCCAGGAGCCACCCCCTTGTCCTCCAGTTTGACCATCTTGTCCTCCGTTCTGACCACCTGTACTCCAGGATCCACCACGTTGTCTTCCTGACTGACCATCTTGTCCTCCAGTCTCAGCACCTGTACTCCATGAACCACCACTTTGACCACCAGTCTGACTCTCAGTACTCCATGAGCCACCACTTTGTCCTCCAGACTGACCATCTTGTCCTCCAGTTTTTCCATCTGTACTCCAGGAGCCACCATCTTGTCTTCCAGACTGACCATCTTGTCCTCCAGTCTGGCCACCTGTACTCCAGGAGCCACCACCTTGTCTTCCTGACTGACCATCTTGTCCTCCAGTCTGACCACCTGTACTCCAGGAGCCACCACCTTGTCCTCCAGTCTGACCACCTGTACTCCAAGAGCCACCACTTTGTCCTCCAGACTGACCATCTTGTCCTCCAATTTTACCACCTGTACTCCCGGAGCCAGGCCCTTGTCTGCCGGTTTGACCATCTTGTCCTGCATTCTGACTGCTTGTACTCCAAGAGCCACCACTTTGTCCTCCAGTTTGACCACCTGTACTCCAAGTGCCCCCACCTTGTCCTCCAGTTTGACCACCAGTACTCCATGAGCCACCATCTTGTCCTCCAGTCTGACCAACTTGTCCTCCAGTTTGACCACCGGTACTCCAGGAGCCACTACTTTGTCCTCCAGTCTGACCACCTTGTCTTCCAGACTGACCATCTTGCCCTTCAGTCTCAACACCTGTATTCCATGAACCATGACTTTGACCACCAGTCTGACTCTCAGTACTCCATGAGCCACCACCGTGTCCTCCAGACTGACCATCTTGTCCTCCAGACTGACCATCTTGTCCTCCAGTTTGACCACCTGTACTCCAGGATCCACCACCTTGTCTTCCAGACTGACCATCTTGTCCTCCAGTCTGACTACCTGTACTCCAGGAGCCACCACCTTGTCCTCCAGACTGACCACCTTGTCTTCCAGACTGACCACCTTGTCCTCCAGTCTGACCACCTGTACTCCATGAACCACCACTTTGTCCTCCAGTCTGACCGTCTGTACTCCAGGAGCTACCACTATGTCCTCCAGGCTGACCATCTTGTCCTCCAGACTGACCACCTGTACTCCATGAACCACCACTTTGTCCTCCAGTCTGACCGTCTGTACTCCAAGAGCCACCACTATGTCCTCCAGACTGACCATCTTGTCCTCCAGACTGACCACCTGTACTCCAGGAGCCTCCACCTTGTCTTCCGGACTGACCATCTTGTCCTCCAGACTGACCACCTGTACTCCAGGAGCCACCACCTTGTCTTCCAGACTGACCACCTTGTCCACCAGACTGACCACCTGTACTCCAGGAGCCACCACCCTGTCCTCCATTCTGACCACCTGTACTCCAAGAGCCACCACTTTGTCCTCCAGTCTGACCGCCTGTAGTCCATGAGCCACCACTTTTTCCTCCAGTATGACCACTTGTACTCCAAGAGCTGCCTGTGCCTCCAGCCTTGCCACTTGTACTTCCAGAGCTACCACTGGTCCACTTCACATCACCTTGTTCTCCAGCTTGGCTACCTGTGCCTCTAGCTTGACCACCTGTACCACCAGAGCTACTAGTCCACTTTGAACCATCTTGGTTAACATTTTGACCACCTGAACTCCATGAGCTACCTGCTTGATCATCTTTTCCTCCAGATGAGCTTGACCAACTTGAACTGCTGGTCCAACTTGTTTGTTTCTCAGATCCATCTCGTCGTGCTTCTCGTGGTATCCTTCTGCGAGCTGAAAGTAAAAAATTAAGGGCATAGAACTAAGTTCAAGAATTAAAAATTTATCTTTGCTTAATAATTGTTCACTTGGTATTTCTAGCTTCATCCAGAAATAAACCTCTTAGGATAAGCAACTACTTCAAGACAATATCTAAGATAATTTAGTTAATAACAACACATGCATTGTTAGATTTAGACATGACATGTTTGATCAGAAATGCACATGGGAAAAAGGGGTTTTACCTCCATCTACTGATTTTATTATACGTATATAATTTTGTGGCTTTTTATTCATCCAAATAAAAAAGGATAGATTATATCAATTCAATAATCTAGATTTCTTTGAGCATGAAATTACGATCAGTGTAAATAGTAATGCTTCTGTTGAACACATTTCATCAAATTAATAATAAGGATATGAAAAATCTTTTTATTAAGAAAATCTGAGATTTTGAATAACTTACCCTTTTCAAGACCCTGTTAATCCGTTGGTAATTAGTAAACATAAACCTTTAGGAATACAAGATGCATCTGGAAAAATTTTAATACAAGCCACTAGAAACCAAAGGTCTGTAAGGCTTGTATTCAGGAAGGCTATCATCACGAGACCTTCACTACGATCTGTTAGGGGATAAGGGGATTTTCTAACAAATTGTTAATTCATATTTCTAAAGCATCAAGTCATTCAATTGTTCATTAGTAATTCATTCATTTAGAAATTCATCCATTGACAGATGTATTTACCATCCAATATATCAATCAATCATTCTTCATACATTAATAAATTCATTCATTCATTTGTTTTATTATGATTCAATTCATCATGCTGTTATTAACATTAGATTCAGGCATTTTTCTACTCCTTTCACTATTTATTCAATCATTCTTTCCACTATTCATTCATTCCTTTCATTGATACTTCCCATTATTCATTGATTCTTCCCATTAATCATTCATTCTTCCCATTATTCATTGATTCTTCCCATTAATCATTGATTCTTCCCATTATTCATTGATTCTTCTCATTATTCATTGATTCTTCTCATTATTCATTGATTCTTCTCATTATTCATTGATTCTTCCCATTATTCACTGATTATTCTCATTATTCATTCATTCTTCCCATTAATCATTGATTCTTCCCATTATTTATTGGTTCTTCCCATTATTCATTGATTCTTCCCATTATTTATTGATTCTTCCCATTATTCTTTCATTCTTCCCATTATTCATTCATTCATTTTTTCACAATTCATTCATTCTTCCATTATTCAAGCATTTGTTCATTCTATAAAACTCATTTATTTCCTCATTCAAATAGACAGATAGATTCACATCTTAATTAATCAATTTACAACTAAAGAAGTCACGTCTGTTGGAGAAACCCAGGTAGAAAACCAAATAGAAACTGAATTAAGATTTAAATTGATAATCATTCATAATTAGATTTCTGTTCTTTTGAACCAGAAAAAAATCAATCTTGAACCCTAATTCTAAGATTAATTATTTATTAGCAATGGCTGGACTTATTTTGTTGAAGTGTTGTCTTAATATGAAATATTTCAATCACTAGTATGGCCAATGAACTTGTTCAATCAGGCAACTTTTCCATTGACATCAAAAGCTACGATATGAATCATATTTGTGCAACATGACATGTCATTTAGAGATGATCAAAATCTATGAGAAACAAGTATTTTTAGTTACAAGTTCAGTTGCAAATGGGTCACCCAGTAATAGGAGTTCTCATTCACATCTTTGAGACATGAAAAAATATTATACTGTCAGTATGACACGAAATTTGTTGACCTCAGAGTTGGTTGCACAGAAGACCTTAAAACAATCATTCAGCTAATTAGAGGTGGACATGTTGGGAAATGTTTTTTGAGCAATATAGAAAGTTATTACCCATCTATTTGGCAATATAGATAGTTATAACCTTCCTCAACAGTTACCATCACTGACTCAGTCATACAAAGAAGTTTGTTTACATCTTGTCATGTAGTGAATGTATTTTATCTCCTATCTATTGTTTCTATCATTCACTTACATCCTTCAATAAATAAACACTAATATGCTTATAATCAACCATTTCAGATAAATTCAAGAAGGTAGGGATAGAGAATAAAATATACCATTGAGCTTTAGTAAGTTTTCTTGTAAATTTTCAAAATAATCTATCAACCTAGAGTTTCTCCTATCAACCAAGAGTTTCTCCTATCAACCTAGAGTTTCTCCTATCAACCTAGAGTTTCTCCTATCAACCTAGAGTTTCTCCTATCAACCTCCTATTAACCTAGAGTTTCTCCTATTAACCTAGAGTTTCTCCTATCAACCTCCTATTAACCTAGAGTTTCTCCTATTAACCTAGAGTTTCTCTTATCAACCTAGAGTTTCTCCTATCAACCTAGTTTCTCCTATTAACCTAGAGTTTCTCCTATCAACCTCCTATTAACCTAGAGTTTCTCCTATTAACCTAGAGTTTCTCCTATCAACCTAGAGTTTCTCCTATCAACCTAGAGTTTCTCCTTTCAACCTAGAGTTTCTCCTATTAACCTAGAGTTTCTCCTATTAACCTAGAGTTTCTCCTATCAACCTCCTATTAACCTAGAGTTTCTCCTATTAACCTAGAGTTTCTCCTATCAACCTAGAGTTTCTCCTATTAACCTATAGTTTCTCCTATCAACCTAGAGTTTCTCCTATCAACCTAGAGTTTCCTTGTAAGCTTGGGCTTCACAAAACAAACCAGAGCTTCCAGCAGCCTTGAGGTTGAAGTAATTAACCTGGTTTTCCCATATCAGCCTGAGAATATCTAGAAGTGAGTCTAATCTCTTAATCAACACATGCTTTCTGTATTACCATAATAATAATAAATAGCATATCTTGATTAACACAATCAGTGAGAGATATCTCTACAGGCATTCACTGGCTGGTACATCAAAGAAATGCACCCTGGACTCTGGTCAGTGAAAATAGGTTAGAATTCATGTTAGGATGTTTTTGGTTCATCTCATTTTCTTCACTGCTATTTCAATATGCCTGTTTTATGAAGATCATGTATAAAAATGAGTCATTGTTAAATGAAAATTTTTGTTTTTTCATTTATCCTTCATCTGAAAGGGATTGTAAAAAGGATTTATAATTTTTGTATGTGTATCAGGGACATTGATACATCACCTTAGAGATTAGTGATGTCATCAAACACTTAGTTTTGGTGGAATTGCAGGAACCACAGACATCTGATTCATCCATTAATTCATTCTTTCATTTTCCCATTCATTCATTCATCAACAATTCATTTATCTATCCACCCACAATTCATTTATCCATTCATTTATTTATTCAAAAAACATGACGTTTCAGCTGACATGCATTTCAACAATATCAACTCTTTAGTTTGGGAGATAAGAAAACACTGAGTCAGCATCTGTTACTAAGTGGATATGAAATATGCACTCAGAGAATTTTATAGCTGATATGAAACTTTGGGAAATGAAATTTCATAACATGGTTAGTTAGGTAGGCTATAAATTGATAACAGAAACTACTGCTTAAATGCTGCTCAAACCAATTTAACTGAATTGAAAATAAGGCAATTAAATTTGACAAAGTTTTAAAATAACTTCACTGTAATATTTTAAGAAACATTTGGCAAAAAATTTGTAAGATTTTCTGAAATTTATTAGGCATAAATGAAATTCTACGAAATCTTATTTCATATCAGTAACATTTGATAGATAATATCTGATGGTAGTCTATAACATACACTAGATTAATTAAGCTATGATGTATTCAACTTTTTAAAATGTTTGATTTCATTGTTCAAAAGTTCAATAGGGAAATAAAATAAAACAATTGAATGTGTTAAAACAAAGGGAAAGTCAAATTTTCTTCAATAACACCCTGACATTTTACATTAATCTTTGATAAACTTCAGTTACTAAAATCTTCAATATGTTAAATACAGTTTCTATAGCAGCAAAATTTGAATCAATTCAACCATAAATGTTGAATTCGACAAAAACTGGAATGCATACATGCAAAATAGCACATGTGCAAAACAAATGATAATTTATCATGCATACTGTTAAAGTAATCATTTATACAACTCAAAAGATAGATTCATGTTCACAACCTTCAACACCTTTTACTCATTATAAATGCATTTAAAATCATTCAAATGGGATAATGAAATTTGCATACTTGAAATAAACGTAGGCAATGAGACATATAATGCATTCTTATAAAAAGTCAGAATTTAAGTCATTATCAAAGAAAAGAAAGTCTATCAATGTACAATTAATATAACATGTTTCTTGTTAAATATACATTGTAATAGACTCATGCTAATAAAGTACAAATATTCATGAATAACATTCTGGAACTTTCATGCAGTATTTTTAAATGCAATGAAGTTTTAAGAAATTTCCATAGATATGATGTCCATTTTAAAATTCAGATTTCCTTGTCTTAAATACTAAAATTTGGTAGATTTTGAAAAGCCTATTTTTAAAAAATAATTTGCATTGAAACTAGAACTTTGTTAAGATCTGATCTGATAAAATTGAAACCTTTTGTTCTATTTCCTTGATGATATCAATAGTTTTTCACACAGGACATCAAAAGCTGAGGTCTTTACAGACAAATTTGCAGTTATCAATTGCCATTTAAATATAAGTATTGATATAGCAAGCAATTAGCTACAGAGAGTTCACAAGGGTGGTCTGTCAATGTATCAGTAATCATTCATAAAAATTATCTGAATAAAATGGTATCTTTACATTTATTGATCTAACTATTGATGCAAGCTAAATGAATAGAGATACTTTTCATATTTATAAAGCCATTCATATTTTATATTTCAGAAAGGATTTCATATTTTTACCCCCACTTGGTTTCATAGAATCAAATTCATAAAACTAAATTTTATAATAATAAAAAAAAAAATTACAGATGAAATTATTCTAATTGGTAAGTTTTCCTTGATGAAAACTTTTTTTTAGCAAAGTTTAATTTCAAATAATATTCAGAGATAAATGAAGAATATACTATTTTAAGTTCTATTAAAGAGTTCAATGAAATATCTATAGAATGACCTTCAATGAAAACAGGACTAAAAAGGACAGGTAAAAAAACTAGCTAAGAGACTACTAAAGTAAATTGGATGATAATAAAAAAATAAATCATTCATAAAAACAAGATATATCAGATATGCAATTAATATGTTTAGCAAGACAGACATCTCAACCCTTAGGGTTCAATAAACTAGGGGCATAAACATACCACAAGCCTTAAACAAACAAAATAAAATTGATAAAGAAAATAGTGAAATGAGTCAAGTAGTGAAAGCAGATATATAACAGCCAAGCTACAAGAATGATTTCCCTTTGCTAAAGCAAGCAGCAGGCTACAAAAGTTATCTGCCCCTACCTGGTGCTGTGTGAGAGGACGTGACTTTGCACGCTTCGAGACATTCCTGTTGTGTTAGAAATCTGTTATCGTTTCCTTTGCAGCCTCCGTACCAGAATTTTTCACACGTTATGGAACTGGAATCAAAGTAGAATCTCAAGGTAAAGTTTCCACATGTTCCTCGATCTTGATCCAGTTTACACCGCTCTGAAACATCCAAGGTTGCTTTACTAGATCCGCCATGTTTGAGTTTTATTCTACTATCTCTACGAAGACAATGCTTGACACATTCAACTCTTGTGGAAAAACGATTTTCATTTCCGCCACAACCACCATACCAAAATCTACGACAATTTCCACTGTTTTCGTCATAAAACCATTTCACCTTATAATCCAGATGACAAGAACCGACTGCAGCGGGAAGCCGACATGATGCCAGCGTGAACATCACCGGCATTAAATCTGCTGCCATTTTGATCAATTATCAAATAATCCAAACTTTTTAACTATTTAAAAAAAAATCCACAATTTTCATTCATCATAATCCAAAAAAAGAATTCTTTAATGGTTAACTTTAACTTAGACCATCCGATTCCAAAAACTATGAATTCTTAATCCTAAAATTACTTTTAATCCATTTTAATCCAAGGAGTGAATGAAAAATCAATATTTTTGTAAAAATGACCACACACGGACTGGACTAGGTAAATCAATCAGTATAAAGTCGAGTCCAGTGTAGTTAGCCAGCTGTCTAAACTAGCTAGTGACGGGTAAAACACTTCGTCAAGTCACACTGTTCTAGCCAGTCTTCTTCCACATTACACACCAATCAGTCGCGACTCCCACAACTTTCTTAGTCTTACACTCCAGTCTCTCACTGACTGCTAACCACTGAGGTTCTAACTATCCCAACTCTTAACAAACTGACGGACTCTACAGTGTGAATTATCTAAGGTATAACTTCTAGCCCAGTGTAAAAGTAAACCCTATGGTATCAGTAGAGTAGAGAATACATGAATGAAGAGTAGTATGGTAGCTGGGCAGGCTGGTCACTTACTTTTAATCTATTCTACAACTTTACAACCTCTTAATTAAATCCTTTTACCATAGATAGTAATATAGGGACTGATATATAAACCAAGGGTTTGTCTATTTCTTAAAACACCTGAAAAAATCAATTACTTGGAAGTTCCTGCTAACATTACATTCTAAAATATTTTACAGATCAAGATCAAACCAAGAAATAATTTTTGGCAATCCTTTTACCATAGATAGTAATATAGGGACTGATATATAAACCAAGGGTTTGTCTAATTTGTAAAATACATATCAATAAATAACTTGGAAAGTTCCTGCAACATTATATTCTAATAGTGTTTACAAACCAAGTTCTACCTAAGAAATAATTTTAAGCATTCTCTATCCATTTTCTGTGAGATCATTTCCAACTTTCATACTTATAACCCTGCATATTCAAACCTTTGTTAACACATTATAACATATCTTAATTATGTACATATTAATTTGATTCTTGAATCAAAACTTATCAATTTGCGAATATTTCATAATAGTTCTATGCATTTTCCTTGAAATAGCTCAAGAGTTTTACTGTTATCATCTGTATTATAACTTATACTGCACGTCAGTATACTATTAAAATATTACTATAAAATATCAAATTTCACATAATTTAATTCATAATACAGGCTACACATGTTGAATGTTAAAAATTCATCGAACAAAGGCCACCTGCTTTTTAAAAAAATTAAATAAGAAATTCACGATTTGGAGAAAAGATACCTGCACTTATCAAAGCAAATAACCATAGATATTTTACAATATCACAACTTAATGTAACTCTAAACATTTACTTAAAGGGTTAAATAGATTGAATAAAGGGTTACAAAGAGGGATTTGAACTTAAATCAAAGGACATCCGTAGTAAATCAAACAAAGTTGAAATTTAAACCTGAGCCAGACAATAGGACTAGATGTTAATCTTGTAAAATGCAACTTTTAAACTTGAATACTGATAATGTATTCACTTGCTCACGTAAAACCCAAAAAGCAGAATGCAGATGTTTATAATCTCATCTTGTGTTTCAAATCTAATATTTCTCCAAAAAAAAAAAATACCTAAGAAATATACCAAGATGACAAATCCAGACAAAGCAAAAGAATTTCACCAAGTTGACACCAAACATATTCTGAATTGCATAAAACAACCCTGTCAACTTTTCCTTTTTCTGTTAAGGGCAATTTAACCAATACACAGAATCATTAAGCAGACGTCAAACTCACTTGATCTTGAATTTCGCGAAAATGCACTTTTTTACCTCATTCCTAAGAGAGCTGCATGCACTTTTCTGTTCTCATAATCAGACAATATTAATAAATACAGAAGTAAAAACCACAATTCCCACTGCAGTGCAATAAATTCAGCACTGTTTGAACCACAGACCAAAATGTCAAGAATGCATATTAATATTCCCTCCTTTTAACATATTGAAGTCCTCTGGGTTTGCAAACATTCAGTAGCATAATAACATTCACATTTTTTGAGTGAAATGTATCTGCTTATCGCTCTAAATAAATTACTCTATTATGAAACTTTCTTATTTATCGAAAATCATTTCATTTTTGTCTGAAATGAAATTTGAGTTTTATGTCCTACTTTTCTGCAAATGATGAACTTACAAGTGACACCGCTGAGACAGCAGTATTAATCTCCTCTTGTTTTGATTTCTAATATGAAAGGATCTATCATATTCACAGCAGTGATTTATTTACTGAAGGACAAGACACTTTCATTTTGAATAGAAATTTCCAGAAAGATTTTATGTAAAAAAATGATAATTCAATTAATGACAGATTCTCTCCTTTCATCTCTCATGTCCTCTTGACATTTTCAAAAAATCTTCAATAAAATTTTTTGCCTGGAACATTAAAATAATTTTACCACTTGAAAACTTTTTTGACTTCGTTAAAAGTCTACCCAAGACCAATTGACTGATATAACACTTAATACTTTCTCACATTTTCTTAGCAAGAGCTTCTTTGTCACCAACAGAGACTGGTGAGAACATCAATATATCTTCTGAAGATGACTGAAATTTCAGATGACTTCTATGAAATGTTCTTCTAATAATTCTTTTGATTGAATGAAACAGACTTAAAGGGGCAGTATGTCAATTTTTCATTATAAAAAACATTGAAACTTGTACATGAAAAGATTTCTAAAATATGCTATTTACTTTTATGTTTACACTTGATCAACCTAAATTTGTTTTTAAATGGCGTGATTAAAAAACGTACATAATAATTCTAAATTATGTAGTTTCAGGCTTACCAAAAAAAATTCTGTCCCTTGAAATTTTACAATATGGTGCAGGAAAGTAGGACGTAAACCTCTATTCATTTCATTTCATTTGAAATTTTATAAAATCTATGTAAGTACAAATTGAAAATCAACAGATATTAGAAAAAGATCCTGTAAATGATGCTATGTAAATAATTGATGCAGATGGAAGGATTTGTTATATTTAGTTTACTAACTGATTTAAATTTCAAAACAACAGTAACTGGTTATAGTGACATACACTTTTTAACTAGCAATAATCATAATTATAATTATAATATCTCATTTAATATTAATATCCACATATCATAGTTTTTATCCTTTTAATAATATCTTTAAAATGATTGAAGTTAGAACAGTGTGAAAAATAGTATAATTAGAAACATTTAAAAACGTTAAAAATCAAAACGTTTTGTTTTAAATCTTAACAAAAATGCTGAACATCAAAAATATATGTTTTCCTTTCAGTCTACTTAATTTCTCATTTCTTTTTATGAAGAGTTAACAAATTTCTTTAATACTAATAACATTTTCTTTACAAGTTGAACTATTTTTTTAGTACATTCAAAATAATGAAATGAGTTTTTTAAATAGTGTTTAAAGCCTAATAAAATAGAATTTAAACATCATGAAATCTGTAGAAGCAATCATAGTGTACAAGGTTAGATGTTATCTAGAGATAAAGCTATATAAACTATAGGTTCCAGGAACATATCAATTCCTCATATATGTTATTTTAATCATTTTTCAAGAACTTTGAAAGTACTTAAAGATATTTGAAATACAATTTCAAACTTAGATATTGCTGTATAAAACCTCTTCAAATTGCAGAAATATAATAGAAATGAGAAATAACACAAAAATTATAACAAGCACTAAACTTTTATTTTTTTTTTGAACAGAAACCAATATCTTCTCCATGTGAGTTTTGGGTTAAAAATCCTCATCAGGGTACATGGTTTAAACATAAATGGAGGCTATTTCTTAAGAAATGAAATAAAGTGGAATTAAACATTTCTCTTCAGATTAAGCTTTTGAAAAGAGGCAATGTGCAGTGTGCAATGATGGATACTTTGTTAGACTACTCTTTTTAATACCAAGCTGTTCAAAAAAAGTTTTTCATATATTTTCAAGTATCAACTGTCTTCAGATATCTTTGTGAATCAGCACTTTAAATGCCAGATCTCAGACAACTTCCACCTGTATAGAATGGTAATATTATCATTCCTGGTAAATTCTTCAGACAATTTCAGTCAGTACTACAACATAACTCATAAGATACAAGTGACAAGAACTCAACATGTAGAGTGTAAAATCTTTTATAAAATTCTCAATAAATCTTCAAACTTCCTATGACCATAGAAAACAATTTCCTCTTGAAAATAAATTCTGCTGCAATAGATGGTTGGAAATTTAATTTTACTTTTCTGCACCTATTTGGACTAAGGAGGACAGGCAACACTATGCAGTGTGCAATTAGGGAGAATAGGATAGCAACATTAACCTATTTTTTTTCGATTTCCAACGGTCAAGGATTTTTAACATGAATTGGCTTTAAAACACGAGCCTCGATTTATGTTCTATTCGAAGGACTAGATGCTCTTTTCAGCTCTTTTTGGTGCAGAATAGTGGGATGTAAAATTCCAGTTATTTCATTTCATTTTTCAGCTCTTCTCACTGAAGGAGAAAATGGGTTAAATATTGCAACCTATGCTGGTATTGAGGACTGGATCTCAGCTAGCAAGTTTCTCAGTCCTCTGAAGCTTCCTTTAAATAAATGGAGAGAGCAGTACATGTGTTTCAGATCTAATCTCAAAATTTGAGACATTTGCTACAACTTGCTAAAATGGAGCCTTAAAAGCAGACGTTAACTTGTAATCGACCAATCAACTTCTATCAGCAAACAAAATTTAAAATCAATATGAGTTTTATTTCAAAAGCCTACATATTACAGTATCAAATCAAAACACTACATCCTTCTCTTGAAGATCTGAGTACTATGGGTTTTTTCCAGTTCTTAAAAAATACTCTCCACATATTCTAACTACAAGTAGCTGCAGCCTGATACCAGATGGTGATGTTGTAAAAAG